TCTTAAGCCAAAATTCTTTGATGGTGCAGTACATATAAAAATGCTTAACGGGAATTCAATGCTTATCCAAAGTGAGGACAACTTGAGTGAACTAAAAAAGCGAATTGATGAACAAACAGCAAACACGAATGAAAACAGTCCTGATCCAATGGATGTTCCTGATGAATAGCAATTAAGATCTCCACTGCCATCACCGCACAAAAATGTTGACCCTGTAATAAAAAATATGTCTTATAAGTCTTTTGTTGGATTTCGTAATAAAATCACATGTATTAACAAATTTTCTATGATGCAAGTTAATGTGAGAGGGATAAATGAGTATTCTAAATTTGAGAAATTCAAAATCATGCTCTCATCATTAAATTATAAACTTGACATAATTGTTCTTGGTGAAACTAAATTAAAACCTACTTTTCCGAAATCTTTATACAATTTGCAGGGATATGACATGTATGTGTCATGTAGAAAATGTTACAAAAATTCGGCTGGGAAATTAATTGGTGGTGGAGGACTGATTGTTTATGTTAAAAAAGAAATAATTGTCACAGTGCATGAAACATTCTCTAATACATTTGAGAAAATAAAACTTGAAATATACCAAAACGAAAAGAAGCTTAAGATACTGGCTTACTACAGACCTCCTGAGTCACAAAAAATTAAGAATATTGATGAATTTCTTCGTGATGTTGAAGACGAATTATCGAGTGGTAGTGATCGTATTATGCTTGTTGGAGACGTAAATATAGATCTTAATGAGAATTGCCGACATGCTTGTGAATATAAAAATTTACTTAGAGGATTCAATATGGAACTAATTAATAATAACATTACACGTGACATTAGTAAGAAAATAATTGATCATGTTACGGTAAATTTTAATGAAGCATGCCATATATCAATTCACACAATTTCCCTAGACAAAAATTTCTCTGATCATAACATGATAATCACATCAATCGAGGATATGGAAGTGAACAATAAAAAAACCGAACTAAGATCATATGATATTCTAGATTATGAGAAATTAAGTGAGAGGATACAAACATCACAAATGCTCAAAGACATTCATAATATTAGTGATGCAAATACTATTGCACAAAGTTTGACTGAAACCATATCTGATGCTATTAAATACTCAACAAAAACGTTAAAAATTAAGGTCAAAAATGACAAAAAAATGATTCCATGGCTAAATAAAAGAATTAGGAGAATCCAAAAAGCAAAAGATAGAATTAAAAGAAAACTCAAAAAAAACAGTTACTGCCACAAATACAAACTGCAGTTTAAACAAATTTCAAAAGAATTAAAAAAGACTATTAATCAAAAAAATCATATACCACAGAATAATGAACTTTGTCAACATTAATGAACTATTGTACAAAAGGCAGTACGGATTCAGGGGAAAGTCAAACACGGAAGTGGCGGCTGTCGAACTTATTAACGAGATTAGAAAGAATATTGATAATAAAAAAAAGGTCTCGCTAGTAATGATGGATGTTCAAAAAGCGTTTGATTCTGTTAATACTGAACAACTTCTTATGTCGCTTGAAAGATCTGGCATACGGGGTATTGCTTTAAACCTAATAAAAAGTTATCTATCGGATAGGAAGCAAATTGTCAAAGTTGGTAATTGCCTAAGTACATTAAAAATTGTCAAAAACGGAGTTGTTCAAGGAGGCACACTTGGAAGTCTCCTATTTCTTATATTCATTAATGAAATGTCTCAAGTCCCTCTTAATGGAACGTTGTACCTATATGCTGATGATGCTCTAATTCTTAATATCCATAACAAAAGTGATAATATCGAACAAATAGTTAGAAACGATGTAATTAAAATAATTGATTTCCTTAACGTCAAGAAACTAGCACTTAATAAGCCTAAAACAACATACATGATAATACATTCACCATTCCAAAAGTTAAATGATGCAGATGAGATATTGATAAATGAACACTTCACGATAAAAAAGACTAGTACCTCAAAATATCTTGGTCTCATTTTAGATGAACATCTTAAGTTTGATGAACATTGCAAGCAATTGGAAACTAAGCTTTCATCATGTGCAGGAATGCTATGGAAATTGAGGAATAAACTACCAACCTATGTTAAGAAGAAAATATATCAGACATTATTTGAGTCACATCTCTTATATATGAATATTATTTGGGGAACTGCATGCGACAATATTATAAAGCCCCTTCAATCAATCCAAAATAGAGCTCTTAGAAGCGTCTTTAACTTGGAAAGACGTCTCAACCGAGTTCAAATGTATTCACATTCAACCGAAAACTGCCTACCAATTAGAGGATTGAACTACATTTTAACTGCAACATATATATACAGGAACATTCATGGAAAGATTCACTCGAATATTAACTTCCCAAGAATAACCAATAGGCGAGGAAGATCAAGACATCTAAATGAGATACAGGAAACTATGTCGCGCACGAACTATGGACACAAATCAATCACTTCGCAAGGTGTGAAAATATTTAATTCTATTCCAACTGACCTTAAAGAACTTAAACATCCAGCTTGTTTCAAATGGGCACTTCGATGTCATATTAGGAATGAATCTTTTATGTCTAACTGCTTTTCAAATGAGTATTTGAAATGTTTCCGCTAATTTTCTGTCGATATTAGCCAGCATAAGCATTCTCACAACACCTTGACATCTAAAATGAAACGGATAATGAAACAAGATATTAAAAAAACGGAAATTTTTATGGAAAATATAATTGAAACGACAACTTAGCTTCCTGTTTTGAATATTTTTTCCTATTAAGTTGCTTAAACTATGCTCGAAGTTCTTCCCTCTATTGTCATTGTCCACAGAGATCCAATATTAGTATTTTTTTAAATTGTTGTTTATTGTTTATTGTTTATGATTACAAATTTTCTGTTTACAAACGAATGATCAATTTTTGAACTTTATTTTGAATTAAGAACAACCGTTAACAACTGTTAAGTTTTTTGAATCGTAAAATACCGTTTTATATTTCATAAGTTCCTTCAAAGATTTTTTATTAAATCATTGGAACTTATCAATTAAATATAATAATATTGTAACAAAGTCATGACAAAGCTCTGGCTCTTGAAAGTTTTAATAAATATAATAATAATAATCCTTAAAAACACAGCCCTACAACACCAATTGAAGTTATTTTAACCAGCGCAAACAAAAATTTTGCCGGTATTTAAATGTGACATTAATCAATCATTGAATAAAAGGTAAATAGGAATGACCTTGAAACTTAAAATGTTATCCCAAAGTGAGAGAATTAGGAATGCAGAATATAATTTATAAAATATAAAATAGAAACATCATCATGCATACGTGAATGAAGATTTGATTTCTTTCTTCCACGGTTTATGAATGGAACAAGATTTAGTGAAAATTTATTCTGAAATGAAGACAGCAATTATCACAAAATCATTTTTCTCTCACGCACACATTCTTAAATTCTCTTCCCCTACGAATATTTGTATGCATTACTTCAAGATATTTTCTTATTTTTTTATCACAGAGTGATATAAATGCTAGGCAGTAGTCACGTTTGAAGGTCATATTATCTACATATGTAGGAAGGAATATGTGTATATATTGCATAATAATAATCTTCTTATGCTCTTTCGTTCTTCTTTCTCAAAAGAATTTTCGCTATCTTTCCCATTTACTTTAAATTTGCCAATTCTTATTTCTTTCTTATTCATGCAACATTGTTGTTGCTATTGATCTTCTTTTTATCTTATTTTTTTTCCATCTGCCAACGTCATGAGTTTCATTTTTGCTTTATGGAAGTTGTTTTCTTTACATTTTATATTTTTAAACAACAAAGCGATGAATTTTTACTATATTTATTAATATGCGTGAAGAAATGACAATCAAAATGTTGATGAACTCTCCAATGAGATTTTATATTAAATCTTCGATACTACACAGATTTTCGGGGACATGCAAAAAAATCACGAATGTGCGAAAATGATTTGTTGTTTGTTTCTATTTGATACATTTTTATTGTGTTGTATTCCTCTCTTCGACATTACACAATTATTATTAACTCATATAATATTTGGAGTATGCGATGAATTGAGAGGAGAAAAAATGTAAACATGATAATGTGAAATAGGGTGTGTATTGTTTGCGGCATATGATATCAGTCAAATGAATATCATTACACAAAAAATGTATCAACATTCAGATTATTATGCGCATTTAATCAATAATCCTTAATTATTTGCTTTTTTATTCACTTTTCCTTTCACTCTCTCACAAGTCGGTTCCGATTTCATAAGAAATTGACAAAAATGATTTTTTAAATGCGTACAAATACAGACATACTGAACGTCAATAAAAGTTGGCACTGAACATTCTAGAAGTGCTCCATGCTATGCATGAAACAAATTTTAAATTCAGAATTAAATGGAATAATAAGAAGTAGTGTACAATGTACAGCCAAGAAGACTCGAAAAAAAAAATATAATGAATAAAATGTAATGGAAAATTTCTTACCATTAAAATGGAAATTCTGATTAAATTCAACTTATTCCGATAGAGTATTGACAAAAAACTTTTAATATCACTGATTGATGAAAAACTTTGATGTATTTCCAATAATTTTCAATTTTTAATTTTTCTTTTCACAATGAACATCAATATTGACGTGAGAAACTACTTTTATTGTTGCAAAATGGGAGCTGTAGAGCATTGTATGACTTTGGTGCAATGTAGAAAACGTAAATTACGTGGACAGCATAGTGTTGCTTATGTCTGAACCTAAATTTGTTATTTTGAATGTGACATGATAAATTTTTACAGGATCTTAAGATTCTAAGTTATTTTATTAATAATTGAAATCAATAATTAAGCATTAATTCGATAAATTACTATGAACATCTTAAAATATCCAGCAAGATCCTCGATATATTTTTCTCTCGACTATCTCAACATAAACTTCCTAAGAAGCATTTACTGAACATACCCGTTACAAAGGAATTTTTCTTGTCTCATAAAAAACTTTCATAAAAGAGATTTCTTAGTTTTTAATATTATTGCCATTAATTAAACATTAGATATAGCATTGGATACGTAAAAAGACTGATAAGATGTTCTTGTGTCCGATAACAAGACGTGGGAAGAAGAAGAAATGTAAGTTCTTTAATAAAATGATATTCTAATTAACAATTTTTTTTTGTGGACATATTGGGGTCATCAAACTTCTTATTCTTATGAGAAACATTTCAACCTGTTGCATCTTCATTCATCAATAATTGCGATGCATCTGTTGCACTCATAATTCTCTTTTTTTCGTGTCATTTTAATAGCTTCGAGTAGTGATAATGATAAGAGTTTAAACAATTCGGGCAGCAGTATTGGGATGGGAAGAATAACAGGTTCTGCATCAATTGAAACATTAGGTAAATAGATATGGATTTTTTTTTTATTGTGTGAATATAAAATTATTAAAAATAAATTTTATGTTATCACAGTAAGAGTCGGAATTGAGAAGGAACATGGATTAGGACCGGATTCAAAAATGGTTGTGTTGCATGACTTTACACCTTGCGTCGATGATGAATTAGAAGTTAAACGAGGACAAATTGTAAATATTTTATATCGAGAGAATGATTGGGTTTATATAATAGGACAGGACACAAGACAAGAAGGTTTCATTCCACATTCGTATTGTGCACCGTATAATAGTCAGCTAGCTGATTTAGCTATTAAAAAGAAATTGCCCCGGAATGCAAATGTGCCAGGAGTTGAGAATCAACTTAGTGATTATAGTGAGATGGAAAATCATCAAACGAATGACATCAATATACAGAATAATTTAAAGCACTCACAAGCAAGCTTAAATTCTGAGCCAGGTAGGAAATAATAATTTATGCGACGATAATTGTAATGATAATTTATTTTGTGCGTGTGTGTGTAGATTACTTGCCATTTTCAAAGGATCCGAGTGGAAGATATATTGTACTTTACACATTTATTGCGAGGGACGAGAATGATGTATCTGTCGAACGGGGTGAATTCGTGACTGTTTTGAATAAAGAAGGTAACTTTGAGTTATTGTTAGACAACTTGGATATTGATATGCCGATTACCTTATATAAATAATTTATGTAATGCAAAATGTATCTTTACAGACGTTGACTGGTACTGGATCGTAAGAACTGATGGACAAGAAGGATTTGTCCCAAGTGCCTTTGTTTATCCAGCAGAGAATATTTTACAAGCTCAAGATACATTAGCAGGAAATATTCCGAATAACGTGAATACAACGAATAATTTAAATAATGGAAATCTCTTTTCGCTTAATAATAGTAATAATAATATAAACAATAATACTCAGTTTAATGCAACAAGTGCTAGTTTTTTGAATAATAATCAGCAACAGCAGCAAATTCAAAATGAATTTTCATCACAAGACGATTTGAGATATCATGGAACAGAATTAGTTATGTTATATGATTATAAGGCACAAGCGCCAGACGACTTGAGTGTGCGACGTGGTGAATTGATTTATGCTGACTTGAATAATCAAACAGTTGATGGCTGGTTATGGTGTTATGCTCCGAAAGCATCAAAAAAATGTGGAAAATATGGCTTCATCCCGAAGAGTTATACGCATACATACAATAGGCAAAACACAAGCGTTTAATGCTACATGTTTAATTATTGAATTTAATGAGATTATATGTATGGAAATTGCTTCCGTCCCAAAACTTTTTTTAACAAATTACTAACAAACACATTCCAAATTATGCCTTACAAATTGAACTTCCAGTGTTGATGAGTGAAATTTTAGGATTAAAATGTTTTTATAACTTGACATTTATTTTTCAATGAAAATAAATTTTAAATTTTATTTTATAAAAAAAATCATCTTAATGATACATTACATTCGTGACATGCAAATAACTTATCGTATAAAATATATTCGATACCAATTTTTAACATCTATAGAGCTATAATATCTTAGGTATATCTTCACAAGTGATACTTTTTAGAGCATTTTCATATTGCAACTGGAAATTAATTTTAACAAACTGTTGTGAATGTTTAGAATTAGAGAACAACGCGACAAAAATAGACGCAACTGTTTTGAATATGAAAACACTCTCAAGAATTGTATAAAAACTTTCTGTAGCAGAAAGTTGTAGGAAGCTTTTCGCAAAATAAGAAACATCTTTAAGGCATCTGGTAGATTATAATTTTGCACAGCATTAAAACATTACTATCATTATTGTTTGAATTAGCAATTAGTATGAATTGTCAGTCTTTGAGCACTTTCCAATTGATGATCTAAAACAGTTTAGAAAGTATTGCACTTTTCAAAAATATCCATCAAAACTGTATTGCCACTTACTTTACGAGTGATGTCAGGTAATCATTTTTATGATTGAGATTCGTTATGATTTCGTCTTTTGCCTTCAGTTGCATTTTTAAATAAGCAATAGTTTCTTCCTGTGCTTCGAAAATTGCCTTACAATCTTCCATACTTTCAGAAAATAGTGGCGGTTCATCTAGACAAAAGAACTCACGAACAACTGGACATTTTTTCATTTCCGGATTTCCCAATATTGTATTAATAAAAGTTTGTAATCCAGCTATTCGAGTGTCTAAAAATCCGGAACTAAAGTTATTTCCAAACCATTTCTTTTTTGGAAGCACAAGATTTGTACTAGGGAATAGTTGCTTGAGTTTAGTATGTAATCTAGTAAAATCAGTGAAACGTCTTAATACTAGCCAAAAACTATTCTTCTCATAGTTTTCAATCCTTAGCTTAAAAATTGTAAATCTGCTTCTTTCTTCCATAACTTCATATCCAACAATTGGGATTTTTATTGAATTACTATCTGCTATCATACTGTATGTACTTATTTCCATTACGTTTGAGTTTCTGGATGTGTCACAAGGAGTTGAAGTCATATAATTATACACACTATTTAAATTCCTTTCAGACTTTGAAGGCTTAACACTTTTTATAACTTTTAGGTCTTTATCTTGTAAAATAGTTGCTAGATCTGCTTCAGATTTAATCTTCCTGAGTCTGTTATTTGTTAAACTGGATTTATATAATTCACAACTTGAATTCCACTTTAATACAGCTGATTTTGTTGAATGTTCGATATTGTTATTGTTGAAATTATGTTTTTGTACGTCTTGTTGCTTTACTGCCTTAACTGTATTCATTACTGATATGTTTGCTGGGTATTAAAAACTATAAAGATTCTGTTTAATCAGTTTAACTCCACAGGACATCTATTTTGGAACGGATATTAATTAATAAAATATTTTAGAAAGTCACGAAAATTCTTTATTTTGATTTTCTATTAAAATGTAAAAATCGGCTAAACTTTAAGTTCCTTGCAGCAATTTAAGGCAAACAATTTTCAGACAGTAAATAATCAAGAAATCATGTTGCTGCCAAAAGTTATAAATTTGATTTGCGTTAAAAATGTAGCACGACGACTTCTAATTTCAACTAGAAATTATCCAGGCATGAAACATGAAGTATATGATTATATTCAATGGGTAAGACCTGCAAAAATTCCGGCTACAGATCCTTTAAAGAGTGGAGACCTGGAAAAGATGAAGAAAATTGACGGAAAAACACTGCTGCTTAATTTTGAAAGATCTAAATTGCTTGAAAATGCTAATGAATTAGTAAAAAGAAAGTTCAGTGTAGAGTTGAATCCACGAAAAGAAGCTGTTCGATTGTATGTTGATGAGATGATTAAGAAAGTCCAGAGACATGATTCCGATTATGGATCTATGGAAGCTAAATGTAAGTTGCATAATTTCTAAATGATTAACATCCAGTAATGTTAAACGTTTTGCTTTTAGTGGCAAAAATGACAGCAGTTATCAGAGCAGGTCAAGTTGCATTAGAAGAGAATCCGAAAAATAAGAAGATGAAACAACAAATAAAAGAGTTGATTGAAAAAAGAAAGAAGTTTTTGAAATTTCTTCGACGATATGACTACAAGCGATTTGAGTATATGCTTGAGCAGTTAGATATTAAATACATGCCTGCACCTGATCATTTTCATTGGATTGCCCGAAAGGAAGCAATGAGATCACTCACAAAAAGATTCTGTAGAAATATCAAAGAAAATCGACTTGACACATACAAGCACATTCTTCAGGCACAACAATTAGAGTTTCTTGAAAATAAAATCAAAAATCTTGAGTTCATCAGAAATGAACAGGTCGAATGTAAAGTTCCAGTGACTATTACAAATGAGCAAATTAATAAAGTAAAGAAGCAATATGAAGAACTTAAGCATCAGCGAGAAGAAGAGGACGAAGTACGCAGAAAGAATGAAGTCAGAGATGATTATGAAATCAAATTGTAAAGGAACTAATCATAGAAATAAACTTAATAGCACTTTGTTAAAAAAAAATGTAAAGCATGTTGTTTTAATGCCTGCTTAGAAATTGGGTTCTTCGCTTAATCCTTTAAAAAGTTGGTGAGCTGTAAGGAATGCTAATAAGAAAAGCGATTTATCACTATGACATTGAATATCTTCTTCATTTATTTTTTAAGAATATTGATGTAATGTAATCAGTTATGGCATTCATACGTCATTTATGTACATTGACATTATTAAATTTGCTACAATTTGTTATGCTCAATTTTCTTATTAATGCCTGGGGTTATCTGTGGATAGTTATTTAAGTTCTCCGGAATCTGAACGTCAAAAATCTAACCAGCTTCAATCAAAAAGGCTATTCTATGAAAAATAAACTTATCACATTTTCCAAAAAAGAAAGAAACGTTTTGGACCAAGTTTGTCCTTGACATTTTTTTAAGACATCCTTAATTTTTTCCTATACATATCTCTGAACACACTTAATATTATTAATGTCTAAGAACCGAAATAAAAGATTCACATTTATGTGCAAACTTCTATCTTGGGCATCAAATACTGATTATATTGAGATTTTTTTTTGTCTTTAATTGGCCCAATTCATCATTTCATTTATTATGCTGATGCTTGATTTAAAAGATATTCAATGAATTCGATAAAATATTCGAATACCCATAAATAACTGAAACATTTTTGATCTTTAAGACTCGTCATTTAGTCCATCTAATGCTTTTAAATTAGGTTTGACAAAAATATACATTTTAAAGCTTTAATTTTTGTGGAAATCATTTAACAACTTTGAACAGAGCTTTTATGCATTCAAAAACGTGATAAAAAGCTTAATAAAGTTCAGAATCCTTTTTTTTCAATTAAGGGATTCAGATAGCTACAGACCATATTACAATAGTTTATCATACAAAGACTAATATTAAATTGATTCAAAGCTACAAAAACAGGCAGAAAGTGAAAAATAATTCCCTTTTTTAAAAGATGATTAAAGCTCTGATTTTTGTAAACAAATATTTGAAAGTTTAATTTAATAAAAGCTCCTTAAACATCTAAAAAGCTCTGTCCAGAGTTGTTATAAAATAATTATTTGCAATTATTTGTGAAATTGACTAAGAATCCTGAAAATCAACTTAACTTTCATTTTTTACTTTTCCATAATTATAATTACTACATTATATTAAATATCAACAAAATACTTTACATTAATTCTCATCATTTTATGATAAATATTGTCTTTCATGTATTTTTTTTTCACATCATGTTTAACGCATGATAAAGGATGTAACAAGGTTAATTAAAGTTGTCTGTCAATGGGATTCAAAATAATACACGATTAATTTAAATGTTTCCTTAATAATAAGCTTTAAACCATTTAACGACAAAAATTTTTACATTAATTTATGCAATTATTGCTTTAGTTTTCATCTACACATATTTCTTTTATGTATGGTGGCTTTTGGATTTTCAAACAAAACTTAATAGTTTTTAAACTGATCCAGTGGTCTATCTATAAGACTTGTAAGTGCATGCATTGAACTTTAAAATTATTCTCAATTAAAAATTATGTGATTTACTTCTGGGGCTGTTCACTTTTTACGTAACGCAAAAAAATGACTTCTTAGACCCCCCCCCCCTCGTAACAAAATTTGTATGAAAAAAAAATTTCCTTGTTTGAACCGTAACAAAATCTTAGACCCCCCCCCTCCCCCTAAAAGAGTTACGTAATAAGTGAATGGCCCCTCTTCTATTAAGTACTAATGTCTCTGCTAAGTATACCTAATAATTTGTGAAAAAGAAGAATGTTAAAAAATTTTAATTTGGCATATGTTCGGATTGTTAATTATAATATATCATTGTTCATTATTACATTATTATTTATATAGGTTGATTTTATCAGCAATCTCATTAGTTGCTTGACTTTTTGTAAACCTAGACGATATTATTTCCAACAATTTTTCTTCATTTGTGCCACTTTTCATTTCTCATTTATCATCAATTGCAGCAGTTTTACTTATTCTAATAAATTCAGTTATTTGATCGTTTTCTCTTAAAAACAATTGCGAAAATGGAACGTAGACGTAGCCATTTACTTCGCTTACTTCTGCATCGAATTTTTTCAGAGCCTGTGTCGTTGTTTTGCGTCTAATATTAATGAAAAATAGTAAATGAATTACTTTAAGTCATATTATCTGGTTATGTCCAGTTATTGCTAATCAATCAACCCCTAAACTTACTTTTTGCATTTCCTTCCTACGTATTTCTCGAACTAATGTGTAGAAAACTTCATCTACATTACACCGAAGAGCTGCTGATGTCTCATAAAAGTGACAACCAAATTGCATTGCAAGAGACTTTCCTTCTTCCGTCGACACTTTACGTTGAGATTGTAAATCTAATTTATTAGCAACTAGCACTAATGGAATATCCTCTGTGAGTCGGACTCGTGTTATTAATTTCCTGTATTCTGATGCTTCTTGAAAGCTGTGTCGATCACAAATGCTATAGCAGATGATGAATCCCTCTCCGCATCTATATCATGTTGAAACTTTAAGAATGAAATTATCTTATAATAACGGATAAAATTGTTACCTCATGTATTGATCTCGCATGGCAGTAAATTCTACTTGCCCTGCCGTGTCAAGAATATCGAGAAGAGCAGGCTCTCCGTCAATAATCGCTTGTTGCTGATATGAATCCTCTGCAAGATAACATTGAAAATAACGGGAAATTTAAATTTTGAAACTTTCAACAGTAATCGAAAATGCTCAAAAACCTTACAAATGTTTTTAAAATGATAAAGTTTCTTGTTAAAGCTTTTTAAACTTACCAATTGTAGGATCATGATAATCGAGGAAGCTATGTGATACAAATTGAAGAGTCACAGCTGTTTTAATTGAAACAAAATTAACAATATGATTAGACTCTGTTAAAAATGCAGGAAAAAGTGGTAAAAACAAAATTGATGAGGATCCTTAACGTTTGTGAGTGATGTGGTTTTCTTATTTAAACATCATCTAAAAAATGAGCTTTCTATGGCGTTTATTCCTCAGAGAGGTGTGTAGGTGTTTATCACTTTTCATTACTGTAAAAGTTCTTTGTTTTGACATTTTAAGAAGAATTTTTTTTATTGGTTCAAAATGATGGAAAGTTTTTAAGTTTAAAATGTTCAGCCGTGTCTCTTAAAGCAGTATCAAAATTTTGCAACATGAACAAAATTTCCTTCGCACATCAAATGATTTGTAAACAGAACCGAAATAAACACAAAAGGCTCATTTTTCTCTCTTAAATTCTGTGTTCCTCGCACAAACATTGAGATACATTTTTCTTATTCCTGCCATTATTGTTATTGGTGTGACTACCTCTTCTTCTTCTTCTTCACCCAAAAAAAAGAAAGGAAGAAAAAAATATTTTGCGTCATCAAGCATGATGACAAATGCGTGGGTGATGAAGAAAATGTATCCCATCTTAGAGGCAACAATCTGTTGTTGGACATTTTTATTTGTGACATAACACATATACTTGCCTGACTTTCCAACGCCACCATCCTAAATATTGATTTAAGTTTTTAATATTAATCACTCATAAATATTTAAATTAGTCGCTCTCACCCCTAAAATCACAATTTTAAAGACCCGTATTCCGGCACGGTTTGTCTGCGTTTTATTATTAACTCCCGATGATGCAGATGTTATTTCGTTATGATTTCCACCATTGCTGATGTTATTGTTTCCTATATTCTTTTGATTCTTTGCTTTTTTCTTACTCAAATTGGAAATTTCAAACGACATTGTACTTTAATTACGTATATGCAGGAATTGGTCGTAAGAATAATTTTGTCGTGAAAGTAGGACGATAAAGCACAATGAACAATAAAATAGTACACAGAAAAAGCTTCAAACCGCACAAAGGAATTGAACAAAATAGGAGAAGAAGGAGAAAAGAAATTTTTAAGAACTAGAAAAATTTTTTGCTTTTTTCTGTTTTTCCTTCCTTTATTGTTTCCGAAGGACAGAAGAGAAAAGTTTTTATTTGAAAAATTAGAACTTTAAAGCACTTTGAGAACACACAAAGCTTTCCAAAATATCCTTTTTCACTTTTTACATTCTTGCCAATAATTTTTTTCATAAAAAATTCACTTTTAGGACTTTAAACAATAATTCTGACCTCATTCAAGTTCAAGTTGTAGACTCGTCCATGTTTCAAAGAGATATGAACATTAAGAAAGAAAAGAAAAATAAAAAGCTCTTGGTGGCTACACAAAATAGTAAAATTTTCTCTCTTTACTCACAAAATATATGCGCATGCTTCATAGACAACAACCGCGACCATGTGGCAGGAATATGAAAATTTAAATTGTGTCTATATACTACCGCAACATAAAATCGTACAGATGAAATAAATTTTCCTCCTCGTATTGTTTTCATTTTTCACATACATGAGCACATTCTCTTCTCTCTTCAACAGCTTATCGCACTTTTGCCTTTTTTAACGTCACTTTATGTTTTGTTGATTCTACTTTTACATGTACAATGGAAACCGCATGAGGCATGAGTTGCTGTTGAGTGAGTTTCAAGAGCCCTCTTTGACGTGCATGCTATTTCTTTTCATTTCCCTCTGTATTATTGCTTATTCCTTATTTACGACACTTATAGATAATTATTAACCAATCTATTAAATGGAATTAGGCTATATCTCTATGACATTTTTATTATGATGTCGCCTTTTTAATCAGCGAGCGTATTTTTGTTATCGGCTGTTGTTATCCTACTTTTGACTAATTTTTCAATTTCTTCATTCAAATTATTAAGGGCATTGAAACCAATGTGCCACAAGCTGGTGGAATGTGATACTAAACCAGCGGATCACAATTTGGTGGTATATCCACTACCTTTTTGCATAAGTCTATTTTTTGAAAGTTAAACAGCTAGAACTGTTCTTGATTTAAGCATCGATTGAGCAACATAGATTTAAAACATACTAAATAGATGAAGCATTTTGAAACCTACTATTCTAAAAAAAATTAAAGCTCTATAGAAAGTTTGAGGACGCATATGATCAAAAGAGAAAATTTTGTAACTTATCATCCTGCCTACGTCAGTATCAAATTAGTAATTAAGTCTTAACTAAACTGTACGATTCGTCGAATGTCAAAACGATGGTAAAGCTTAATTAAATTCATGCACGCCATTTCTTGTGTAGTTGCTATCCTCAAAAAAAAAAATTCGACATTACAGGACGATGAATTGTTGTCGTCTAGAAATCAACAATAAATATTTTATGGTTTTACGTGTGACGTGAAAATGCCTTGCTTAAAAATGTACAGCAATTATATTGTTATTGTAGCATTTGTGGCTTTGTACCTTCTAATTCTAGGCTAACGCGTAAATACGAACGAAGCGCACAAGAAGCTAAAAATAGCAAATTATTTCCAAAATGACATTTGTGATAAAATGTTGTTGAACTTCTTTTTAGGAAAATCAATTTTTTCCGTATTATGAGAAAGAGGACGACTTTATTTTAGGCATAGCTTAGAAAATTAATCAATTTTTATGACGGAAGCGAAACTTCACTATTAAAATGAAAAAAAAAAAAAATCGAGGAAATTATATTTCATTGACCCGATTTTAGTTCCATTTGTTTGAATATATTTAACATGAAGCTCGTCTTGGGAGATGATGGAATTAGGGGAAATTCATTAGAACGAAAGCTTTTTACAATACATTGCTTTTGACGTCATTTTTTCTTGTCAGTGAGCTGCTCAGTAAAGTTTGTCATCGTATTTATTACAATTTATGGTTTATTGATCAATTCCAGTCATACTTTTATTAATACTTACAATGTCAAAATCATTAACGTATGAAATGTTTTGATGCTATGACAGCTTACTGAAAAATGTAGGAAATTTTAAGGATCATAAAAAACCAAGGAATGCTTTAAATCAAGAAACAAATAAAAGAACGAATTTAATTTTTTATTGGTCTTTATTATTTTAATCAAATAATTCATATCAATTTTATTACAACTTTTTAATGATTTCGGAAATTAAAATTTCATTTCATTCTTTCCATTTTTTAAGCATTAATAAAATTAACAACATCTAATCGTACTAAATAGATATTGTACAATAGAAGACTAACAAACCATATATTTTAAAAAAAATATATATAATACTACTGATGATATTGACTATGGGACAGTTGCTATTGAACAACATATGGATATCAAGAGCTTAGTTTAATAATGCTTCCACTGTGTAAAACAAGCCAGGAATCAAATCCGCGAGATAATACACAAATAAATCGTGTAACTATCAATCATATGCTTAAATTTTTATGCTTCTGGAATTAGAGTCGATGAAAATATCGTTGATACAGCTTTGTGGGTATAAAGACAATAAAGTTTCATAAATTTGAAAATAATGGATACAAATTGTTCAACAGCAACCAACAATAAAATATGAAACATTCATCTGTAAAAACATGTCATCAAAATGATTAATAGATAAATAATTATGCCACAATACATTATTTTCATGCTTAAAAGACAAATTAGATGCTCAAAACTTCCCACATGTAGAAAAATTTATAAAGTTCATTGTTAAACTTTTAATAAAAATTAATTTTTCATCCTGATAAAATTTCATTTTCTTTTCATTAAAAGAATCAAAAAAGGTTTCATTAAAACCTGCTGTAAATTTGATAAAATAATTAATTTCGTTTAAATCGCTTCAAAAAAGCTCTTGATGGCTTTTGTGTAAATTTTAAAATAGTTCTGGATCCTGATTTTTATCTTAGGTACAGCTTTTGCTACAAAAAAAAATCAATAATGGCTTAATCTTCTGATATATTATTTAAATTCTCATAATCATATATGCACAAGCAGAAATCATGACATGAAAGAAAATAAAGCATTTCGTAGTAAAAATTTTTTTTGTTTCCTTTATGTATTTTGATGAAAAACATTGGCAGCACAAGATTTCCCGAGGGTCACATCTGTTTATTTATGATAGAGACAAGCACTTTAATTATTTTATTTATTTTTTATAATCCTATATGATATTAATATTTCCAATGGGTTTCAAATCTCTTTTTTGTAATTTAATCTGGATAGACCTTTGAAAAATCAGATTGGATGCAATCCGTGAATCTTTTTTAGTGAAAATTAATTTATTAGAAATCAGCACATCAATATTGTTAAACATCTAGTCAGAATTTTATATAATAAGTAACTCTAAGTCATAATAAATAGAGAAGCGAAACCCAGGCTTGATTTTTCATAATCTTCGATTTTTCTTCATTAATCTTATCATTCGATAGTAGATTAATATTACAAATTTGATAAAATACAAACACTAATTAGCTTACATCTTAAATTAATAAAGAATATTAATTTTCATATTCTTAATTTTGTTGAATCGGTTTAAAGCAAAAATTATAACCTCATTTTAGAACGAATCTAGGTTGCTACCTGCTTATTTTCATTTGTATTTAAAAATGTAGTAGGAGATTGATAGAGATTGTTTCTTTTTTCCAAGGTTTTGAGATATTCTCAGCTTTTCCTACAATTTCGAGTCATTTACTTATAACATCCAGCATTTGGGATAGTGATTTTTTTGAGATTTGTTTTAATGGACATTATCTTTTTCAAAAACTATAAAATTCAATGCTAAAGTCTATCGATAGTTTTGACAAATCCTGATAAGGAGCCGTTCACTTATGACGTTCAGAGGAGGGGGGGGGGGGGGGGGTCAGCTAGAAAAAAACAATAGAAATTCCTAGAATTCCATTGTTCTTTTTGGAAAAATGACCGTTTATATCGGACGTCATAAGTGAACGACCCCTAATCAAAATCACCCTTTCCATTGCAAAACGGAAGTAAACAAATTTTTGACAATCAAACTCGCTCAATTGATTATAAATTATTTTGATGTGTGTGAAACATTTCAAAGCATTAGATCTGCTAAATGCTAGATGTCATGAAAGTTCAATCATACAAGTCAAGCCATCCTATTGAAATTTTAATGTATTTAATCAACTTGATTTAGAAATTTCTTGATTTTCTTGTGATTTCACACATCCTTTCTATCTTTATTTAAGTACCGATCATTCAATAATAGCTTGAAATTTACTAATTTTTAAAAAAGCAAAATTAAACTTCTTTTTTTTATTTTCTTGACTACATAAATTAGGCACTTTGATTAATTAAATTCAAGTGGAAAATCTCGATTCAATTTTACCAACGTCGTTCATTTACCATCTGAATTGCACATTCATCCTAAATCAAATATTCTACAGGTTAAAAATGATATTTTTCATTTCCATATCCATTCTTTTAATTTTCATATTTTCGAGTCTTATCTTTCTTTATCATCTTCATAAAAAGTGCAAAATGATTAAAAAGTTTTCAAAAATCAAAATTGTTCGAGCTAGTCATGAATCAAGAGGATCAACTGCATGAAAATGACAAACTTTTTTTCGTAGAGCTTCGAGCTTAGTCAATCATAAAAAGTGCTCGAATCCATGTGATTGCTTCTTTTCAGCATGGACTCACTATAATTACAAGAGATATTTTTTTTGTCAAGTTTTAGTTTATATCAATATTATTTGATACAAAATTAGGCCTTTTTTCATTTTTCTTTATGTTTAGTAACTATTTTCATTATTTTTCATAATTTACACATGATTTTCTTTTTTTCATACTAGTTTTATTTTTTAAAAAGACAAATTTTCATTTTTCAGATAAGAATTTCACATTCACACGAAATTTTCAATTTGTGTGAATATATTTGCTATTCAAATGAATGCATGACAATACAAAGAGTTTTTTGGATTCAACACGAATTTCTTGAATTTTAAAATGTTTTAGAAAACTTTGATGACAAAAAATAATTTTTGAATTTGTATGGTTTTTAAAATCTAAGAAAATTAATTTGTACGGTTTTTAAAATCTATGAAAATTAATTTGTATGGTTTTGAAAAGCTTAACCAAATTTTCAAGAAACTTTCAAATGTGCTTTTTCAAATAAATTCACTAAATTGTAAGATTTGAATAACTGTCATCAATGGTTTTAATGGAAAAATATGAAATGATTTTAAATAATTTATTTGCTACCTATTCGGGAGCCTTTGTGCTTAGCAATGGAAATAGATAGATCATGAGTATTAAAATGTTATTTTGAAGGATTTTTAATCAAACATGCTTAAATATTTTATAATGTTTATTATATGTCGGTGAGGGTTCCTAGATGGGAAAGTCTTTATCCAAAAAGTTTTGTATAGATTGTGCAAACTTCCTCTATCAACTAAGAACAAAAAATTAATCGAATTTCTGAAAATACATATGATAGGTGTGGGGGTGGGGGATAATCAGGGAGTAAGGATAATGGAAATCAAATTAAAAAATGATAATGAAAGTAATTTTGTTTTTTACCTTTTTTTGGTCTAATAATATTTTTATTTTTTATTCTTTTTTTCTGTTTTTTGTTTGTTTATATTAATTTCATGTAATAATAAATTGGTTTATTTCCCTTTTCATAGTTCCAAGTTAGGAATTTTTAAAATCTTTTTCCTTCTTTTCTTTTTTTTAAATCTCCATCCCACAAAAATAAGCATTTATGCAAAAAAAAATGAAATTTTTTTGTCAAAAAAAGTTGAAAAATTTACACAAAAAAAATGTTTAATAAAATAATCAGGAAAAAGTGAATAAATGATCCAAATTAAACACAGAAAATATGAGCTTATATATGACGAATACAAATAAAAAGAGTAATGGTTCGTTTCTGATATAAATTAATGTTCGTCAACTTTCTCAAATGTTTGATGATCTGAAAAGATTCATTTTCGGAATTTTAAATGCAAAATCTATTAAATTTTATAGAAACAAGATGTTCTTTTCACAATCAAGGATTATATGCTTCATTAAGTTGATTGATAGAGCACATAAAAAAACTTTTATCTATTAATATATGAGGTCGTCTGAAGAATGTTGAGTCTAAAATAGCTTTAAAGAAAACCTTACAATTCCATGATTAATTTTGGACTGTTGTGCTGCTTTCAAATATTTTTCTAGCTATTTCAGATCAAATTCTTCAAACTATATATTCATCAATTGCTGCGCATTTCTCATATTTCCCAACATATGATTTTTTTGTCTTCGTAAAGTGAAATATTTCGTTCATTCAATAATATAAAAAAATTGCCATCAAAGTTGTTAATTAATTAAATTTACTTTTCATGATTTTTCTTTTAAAAATATAATATAAAATCATAATATTTTTTAATATATCGTTTTCTATTATTAGCTACAGAAAAAAAGCATTCAATTATCTCGCAGTGGATTGACACAAAAACGTTTTCCTCGATTTGCTAAGTGGGAAATTTTTGCCACAACAAATTACTAATAAGAACAACATAGAAAAAAAATTAATTAATTTAAATACAAATATTATTTTGCTTTCTGCATGTTTATAATCTCTTAATGATTTGCTTTTAGTTGCAAGATAACCTGCCAAATCTTTAATTTTCATTATGATTAAGGAAGAGAAATTATAGCTGACTATACTTTAAGGAGAAAGAAATGATCTGGATATGATGAAAAGAAAGGATCATTTTTATATATAATATATATTTTTTTTATTGTTAAACGTATAAAAGAACAGAAGGATAATGAATTTAATTAAAACGAAAGAGAAATCATGTTTCACACATCATCATCATCATCATCTCTCTTTTTTCAAAAAGGCGAAGCTTCATTATCAAAGAGCTCCAACAATTAAAGGCGGAAATAATTAATTATTATCCCACATACAAGAAATTAGTATTATATACTATTAATTTTTAAATCTTCTTTTTCCTTGAAAGAATTAGCTTTTTTTTTCTTCTTCTTCTTAATGAGTGTCGATTAATGGAATTTCTTTTAAATAAATCAGTTTCTCAAAAACAGTTTCTGTAGATGGACAATTTTCTTCTTAAATTTTGAGTTGATCATGCAAAAAATCTATTTATGTATTTATCTGTGTGTGTGTGTATGTTAGGTAGATTATAATAATTATTATTACTTTTTATATTATCGTATTTTTTTTTTGTTGTTGATTTGTTGTGTTGTGTAAATTACAGCTCGATGGATATTCACGAAAAACGAAGTCGGGGGAAGTTTTTACTCATGATTTTTTTTTTGCGAGGAAGTAAAAGAAGAGGAGAAGAAGGCAAATTTAAAGTAAAATACATCGATTCTTCTTCTTCTTTTTCACTTGCAATGCAGCTCTTGTGGCTGTTTCAAATACTTCACGTACACCTTCCTTTGATTTGGCTGAACATTCCAAATATGCAAATGCGTTTATTTTTTCAAACATCGCTTTGCCTTCCGACGTTTTCACCGGCTCTTGCTTCATTTTAGCCAATTCTTTGATTGTGTGCGGATCATTTCTGAGATCTTTTTTATTACCGACTAAAATGATTGGTACATTCGGACAAAAGTGTTTTACCTGAAAAGACAATCGAGAATGGATCTCATTAGTCACTGATCATTATGATTTACATAATTATGTCAAACTTACTTCGGGTGTCCACTTTTCTGGAATATTTTCCAATGAATCTGGTGAATCTACGGAGAAGCACATCAGAATAACATCTGTATCTGGATAACTCAGAGGACGTAATCTGTCATAGTCTTCTTGTCCAGCTGTATAATTGATAATATGCAATTTATTAATAAATATATTCATGTAGACATGATTTAATATATAGTAATAACTTACCGGTATCCCATAAAGCCAACTCGACCTGTGAGAGGAGAATAATAATTATTGTAAATTCTATTAATATTACATAATGGACATGTAGCTATAATAATATGACATCATCCGATCACTCATTCATTCATTCATTTTTACATACTCTGTCATCACAATCGCCGTTACTCGTTGTTGTATTCAATACGATAATAAAGGAGGCATGAAAAAGAGATCGGACAAGCAACTTATATCTAACCAGCTATTGCCGATTAGTCATCGCAAAATTTTCTCGGAATTCATAAGCGATCAGTTTTTTTTTTTGCTGTTATTGCTTTGTTTCTTTTGTTCTCCACATTCTCATAATATTAAAAGAATGTACATTTTATGGTTTATAATGCTTGATATTTTTGTGTGTACACTTTTGTAATCTAATATATTCCACTGTGGAATTTTGTTTTTATGAGGAATAGACGAAAGTATGAAGAAAAGAGATTGCAGATTTTTTTTTCTTCTTCTTTTAACACGAGAGTGAACTGATTAGCCGGCTCATCATCTAATATACATATTTAATAAAACAGCTGCTATAATAGCTTATCGTACGGTATGATACAAGTCACGCTATTTGATTTTTGATAAGTTTCATTAAAATAATACAAATATATGTATTCAACAGTAATGGAATGTTATCGCGTTTCTTACTAAGACATTCATATTGAGTTGTGCTCATCATCATCTTATGACACATTTATAAGATTTTTTTCCAAATAAATTTCATTTGTTTGCTTGCTTCACTTCATTCTTCCTTCTCTCACTCATTCATTTTTGATTGAATGATGATGAAATTGCTGCGTTTTGTTCATATGTCTTACAGAAACTTAGTTTTGAGTATGAAATCATTAAGAGGAATTTTAATATTCACAAAGTAAATGACCGATATTTTAAATAATTTGTTTTTAAGAAGAAATGACTTCAATATTCGTAGTAAAAAGAAAGCGGATATGGGGCGCAAGAGAAAAATAAAAAGTAATGGCAATAAAGCATCTTTCATATATATATATATATATATATATATATATATATATATATATATATATATATATATATATATATATATATATATATATATATATATATATATATATATTGAATCAACGATGTTAAAATGAATGTGGCAAGCAATATACATACATAAAGATGAGAGGAAAAATAAGATCATTTTCTTATTCATTCTCAAAAAAATTAAATAAAGAAAGAAACATTTGCTGAAAAATGTATTCATTTTGTTATTGCTTGTATGAAGTGTCTTGAAAGGCGCGCGAGTCTGGTATTATTAAACTATATCCATGTGATTTGGATGAGAAAAACACACATTTATTGTATTTTGTACAAATCAAAGTTACGCAGACTCAAATGAGGGAGATATTAATAAAAATAAGAATGAGAAAAGAAAAAAATGTATCGTAATTAATAGGAGAAATATGTAGCATCGTAACACACTTTATCGAGCAGCACTCAATTCCAATTGAATGATTGATTTGGTATTTGTGCCAAAGAAACGCATCAATTAATGACTGAATAATTCAACAAATAATAAAATAAAAACCTGACAATATGATGACGGCGTTGATGATACATGCACAAACTTGACAAACTAATCAGGCACTCAGATCAATTAATTCCGTAATAGACATTTTACACTCATTCCATTTCATTTGTTTTTCTTCTTCTTCTTCTTCTTTTCGTTATCAATTACCTGCTTTCCATCAACTTCAATATCGGCAACATAATTCTCGAAAACTGTTGGCACATAAACTTCAGGAAACTGATCTTTACTGAACACAATCAGCAGACAGGTTTTTCCGCAAGCACCATCACCAACAATCACTAATTTTTTACGAATTGCTGCCATTGGTTCTAAGAAAATAATAATAATAAGATATTTTTTACTCTCTCTTAATATATGTACTTCCGAATATCTTTCTAAATCTTAATTTATACACATCAAATGAATCCACTAATTCTTAAAATATTTAAACTTTGTGCTGCTCAGAACACTTTATTTGAGAAACCGATTAATTTTGAATATTTTAAGGCTCTCAATTCGCAAAATATATATATCGAGTGTATATATAGAAAGAACAACGCCTTATTAAATGGACGACGAATCTCTTTTTTTTTTTGGAATGTTTCAAAGACTTTTTTCTTTTTCACTTTTAATGCACTTTTTGACCTTTCTCGAACTTACATTTATCTTTATTCTATTTTTATATGATTTGTGAATATAATTAAAATGTTTTACTATTTTTAAATACACTAGAAAATTAGTAAAACTCGTTTTAAAAAATTAATTTCAATTTTTTTCTACTTCACTTCTCGCGGGTCGTGTAACTAGTTTCATTTCTTGGCTTTTTTTCAACGGGATTTGAAAATAATTTGTTCGTTTTTATCCCACAGGGCCTTATAACTTCTCAGACATTTTTAAAAAATCCAAACCGTTAAAACCAATAAAACTTAAACTTTGACAACGTAATTATAGCATAATTTCATATTTAAACGTTACATTTAATCACGATTGATGTTGTTACTTGAGATAGAATAACATTTAAAACACAATTAAGCACATATATTTTAAAAACGAATAGCTAAGATTTGATTGAACACTTTTAATTAACATTTGCTTATAATGGATATAAGCATAATGAAAATATTTTAATTTCATGACAAAATATATTTTTTATATCCTTATAGAATTTTATCATTTATATAAAAATCCATAATAATTTGGTAGAGCACTAAATAATATAATCATAGACAGAATGAAAATATCAAGATTCTAAAGGAGATAATGAGAAGCAAAATAAGGTAGAAATGATAGACATTTTTTGGTTTAGTAAAATCAATCACCTGAATGACTTTCGTCAGACGAAAAACAGGAAAACATAATGAGAAAAGAGCTGCTCACCACATAAAGTATAAAACCTTACTTAAATACCTACTTGACTTGGTTTTCTTTAAATTTTTAAAAATTATTTCTTAATACGAATTTTCCTTCTTAACAGATACAAACTAGACAGCTCTTGAAACTTTACCAGCCGTTAATTTTATGATATAGGTATTATTTTTTCAAATTTAAATTTTTTTAATATTTTTCGAGACACTCTTTAAATCTTCGTCTTCCATCAGATTAAAATTTGAGTTGTTAACTTGCAAACCATCTTAGTTCATGCCTTTAATAACCTCCAGTTATATGAGCATACCAAAAATTGTCAAGCCGGAGGTTCGATTCCAAATTTATTGAAAAGTTTAAATTTTCTCTATTATACATTTCAAACATTAGTAAATCTTAATTGAAATAATTAAATTATTATCAAGGATATGATGAATATTAACATAATATTTATTAACATCTAAGGCTGAAATGGTTTTATGGCTGTTCAGAAAAAATTGAAATGTACAATTTGCAGTCGGTAAATTAAAATTTTTAAAATTTATGCTTTTCATATAATAATTTGAAAAATCAAAAAAGTTGAAAATTTTAATTAAATTTGAAATTGTGAATTCTCATTTCACAAGAAATTTATCTAAGTTTTTTTTAAAGACGATATCACTTGGGAAAGAACGCTCGACATTTGAAAGGTTTTTCTTCGTACACAGAAAAAATTCATCGATTCCAATATCTCTTCATTTTTCATTTTATGAACAGTCTTATAAGTATCAAGATATCGTCCGCGAATCTGGTGAAAATTAATTGATGAATTGTGTAAAATAAGTGGATAAAATCACAATTAGACCATCCATTGATAAAAAATTGTACTCGTTAAAATTTATACCATTAAGTGCACTAGTAAAATATTTGTGGATTGTATAAAGTGAATCTTTAAAAAAAAAATTGAAAACTTTCAAGCAGCATAAAAATATAAAAAAAATAACTTTTCATGTGTTGGATTATTTTCGATCATTTTATTTAACGACAGCTATTTTTCCAGCTTATTGGATTTATCATAAAAGGTGCGTAAAGAAGAGATTGTATACTAGTGCACTAGAAAAAAAAAGATCTGCAAAATGTATCAGACCGACGAATAACGTAGCACAAAATTTTTAATGCTCACATACTTTTATTGATTTTCGGGCTCTTCTATTTTCGGTGCGTTTATTATTATTTTCTTTTGCTTTGGCGAGAAGAAAAGCATACATTTATATTATATATTTCTGATCGTAGAAAAAAGACAGGAAAATTTTCATAGTCGGTACCTTTAAAAAATGAATGCTAAATAGCAGTAGATAAAGGTAAAAATTAAGGTTCCACGTATTACATATAGAATATTGATAAAGTAATAAGCATGAACGTTTACATTCTGATTTATGTTCATGACTTACATTCATTCGTTTTCGCAAATCCAAATTACATAAAGCAGCATAAAGGATATAACGGAAAGAAATGAGAAGAAAAAAAGGGAAAATATAAGTTTTATTAATGCTACAAACATTCCTGTCGTTTATCATAACACACACACATATATTCAGCATATTCACCGTTCGATAGTGAATGAATATTGATTGAAGAAAATATCCATCAATTTATAATATTGATGAGTAGACAAATTAATATCAACTGAACTTTAACAAGCATTCTTTCTTCAATTATTATAAATCATATGATTTCATTCATTACTTCCAATTTATAAAACATCTTGATAATCGACCGGTACATTTACACGCTCCTATAATACTCTCCACATACTAATCATAATTTTTTGTTAAATGAAAAAATAACAACATAAAAAGCAAATAAAATTCTTCTCATCAGTTCAAGGTTCAATGAGCATTAATTTCTTTTAATTGTTGGCAGAATGAGTTCACATACATATGAGATTCTAAACTAGCAGACAGTGAGTTGATTGAAAAGGATCACTTTTCACATCATCGAACGGCTATTTTTGTGTTATGCGCACAAAATGATTAAATAACCGCAATTTTACTTACAGACTATAATTAGTTTACATTGAAATAATGATTTTGTAATGACTATAGGGCGTCAGACTTCTAACACATAAAAAAATCATCTAATGATCAAATAAACTGATATAAACTTATTCAATTTTTTCTCGTCCAAATCAGCATATATGTCTAGTTAGTTGATGAAGTGTCCATACTTCCAATATTTATTCTCTTCAAGAGACTTGAGACAAATTTCAAAAACTAATTCAAGTTTATATATTTAGCAACTAAAAGATGTTAATAAATTTGTGATGTTATCTTAATAAGTAAATGTTTGGATAAGGCACTGTTTGAAATACGTCTCTTGAGCCACATGTTCAAACGGCTGCTGCTTCTTCTTTTTCTTTTATACGTCATTTGACAAAATATGTTAAAATAAAAATAACAGGAAATTTCTCATGCGAAATCAACCGAAATTAGAACATTATTCATTGAGTAGAACTTATAAAAATAATTTCTTGTGCCACTGATAACCCCTGAATGATTGTTTTTTGCTTCTTCTTTTCCTTACAATTCATTCATTCAACAAAAAAAAAGCGTCAAATATTTCAATATAGAAATAAATTAAATGTGTGGAATTTGATCAAATCTTATCAATCTTTTATGTCGTTTAATCAATATAATCTGATTGAAATATCAGCATAGTAAATAGGTCTCAATAACGTAGAAATGAAAATGAAAATATTTGACGATTCATCGCGTGGTTGTGAGCCGTGTTTATATTTTACCTGAATTACTTCATTTAATTCCGCTTCTTATCAAATTTATATCAGTTGAATCAGCCTAGATGAAGTCAGTCAATGTGTAAATAGAAATGCATTGATTATTACTGAGAAATTTCATGTCACTTCTTTCCTTCTATTTTCTTCAAATTCATTTCCTTTGTTTATTGAACGTCAACACTTGCAAGTTTATTTTAAGAGATTTGTCATATTCTTATGTCACTATGTTATGTGTTCATAGTATTTGTGTGTGCGGAAATGAAATCAGCCGATGCATAGATTGCACTTCTAACTCAACAGGAAGCTCTTTTTCCTCAAAGGAATTTCTTCTTTTTAATTTTTAAGGAAATTCAAATACTTTTGGCAAATTTTATCAGAATTTAAAAAGTTGGTCATCAATATCAAATAACTATAGTTATAATATGCTTGACATTTTTAATGAGCAGCCTATTTTATTTTAAAGTTCACATCAATGTTGATTTTTCTGTAAAATATATGCAAAAATGACGAATACTGAATGTGGCTGAATATGAAAAAGTTTTTTTAAAATAAATCTCGTCTCCAATGAATTCATTTATGTAGATGTATAAGTTCAGTTATTAGCATAAGACGCACTGAAGAGAAGAGCGACAAAAAAGAAATGAGAAGGAACATGAAGAATTTTAATATTAAAAATGAATGCAAAAGAATAAATTTCCATTGAAACTTTAGGCGCTGCCATATGTTTGCATTTCAAAATTTTAATCCACAAATGCGTGCTCCAAAAGCATAAAACAAATGAATTATTTGTCTAGAAAATTGTCTCCATCACCGCAAAGATTTTAGTTTCATTTGTGACTTGAATTCAGAGCAATAAACATGCAAAACCCCAAGTGGATGAATAATTATGATATGCAATGAGACTCATGAGTAGATTGTCAGCTGGCTAAGAGACATAGTCAATTCATTAATGAAATTATCGATGCATATTCTCGTATCAAAAATTTTTCCATTAATTTTAATGCTTCAATAAGTTTTCATCAAATAGAATTAATTAATCAATTTAGATTGCATTACTTTGATTGTAGTTTTTATTAAATAATGATCAGGTATGAGGAGAAGCATGCCAAAGTTTGTAAAGGCATCGATGTGAAGTGAATTCTAATAAGATTCTGTTTAATTTAAGTATTTCCACGACTATTAATTTTATCTTCATAATATGCTTCTGGTTGAAGATGTTCATACCTCATATACTCTTCTTTTAGCAACTTCTCGTTGCTGTTCACAGTTCAATAACTCTTAACCGCACGATTAATAATGCTTCCCATATTTCCCATACTCATGAAATCTCTCAACCTTTCTCTTCTCATTTTTTTCATCACTCATGAATGAACGAGTGAACCTTTATGTAAATTTTCATCGTCATCGAATAGTCGGTGTGTGTGTTTATTTATAAATAAATAATTTTTTTCGAACCATATCCATGTGCCCTAATCTCATAATTTTATTTTCGGTCTATTATTGTTTTACAAAATTTTAAGATGAAAAAAATGAAAATTTCCTCTAAATAGGAAAAATATACTTTAACAGCATAAAATTTTAATTTTTGACGCTTGTGGCTTCAATTAGCGAACTTCTTGGAGAATATAAGTCAAGAGTCACTGAATTTTGTCGAATAATACACCAAAATAATGTCATTGAACTTTTTGAGGCACACAATATGCGCCAAACGATTTCTTAGACAATTATGCAGAAATTTCATCACGAGTGTTGCGAAACACATTCATAAATATTATCAACGATGTGAGAGACTGAATTAAAGAGAAGAGAAATTAAAAATAGAAACAACAGAATAAATAGCATCAATGTTCGTGTGCCGTGTGTGAATATTTATAGCTAAAATCGCGGCTTTTCCTTCAAAAATGAATCACATATCACCCAGTCAAGTCAACAAAATTAAAAAAAGATTAATTTTATAATATTTTTGTTTGATTATTATTTCCAATATTTCTTTTAAAACTCAACTCGTTCTGGAACTATTTGAAAAGACACATGTGTTGATAGTCTGTGCTACAAGTATAATAGAAATATTTTATGAAGCATGTGATAATAAGATTCATGACGCAATATTGACATTCTTTTGGCACACGTGAGAAGTTGTCTGCTATAAAAAAAATTAAAAATAAATTTCATCTTCAAGATTTATCAAATGCGACCAATTTTTTATTATCATAAATAATTGTATGCAGGCATTTATTTGTCTTTAATATTATAAGGCGTCAAAACATTAAATATAAAGAACGCTGATAATGTGAAATTCGTGTTTTTTACCGATTGCGTAAGCTTAATATACACATCAATTGATTAATCACAACAGTAAGTTGCGAAATTTATGAAATGAGAATAAATTTATTATTTTCTGTATTCTTCTCATACTTCTGATTAATTAATAGAATGCAGCATAAAGCATTAAAGTTTATTAAAGTAATTTAATTTTGAGACTTTTTGTGTTTGGTCATCATAAATATAAAGCATTTGTTTTAGCACGAAAAACTCGATGGAACGCACAAAAATCTGCTTCAATGAAATTTTCATCTTTGTCATGTTCCTCTTTCTAAAAAAACGTAGCACATTCTGCTTAAATTTGTGTTCTTATTCTTCTTTTTTCATTGAATATAAGTGGAAAACCTGATACTGCTGCTTGTTTCGGAAGTACAAAAGACTATAACGGATTATGCCGAAGCGAATAATGTCATTCCTTTCTGTCTAACTTCATTGTTATAAATTTCAGCAGTGCGAGTGAAAAGTTTATTCTTGCCTAGGTTCGGAAAATTGACAATGTGACACATTGAATGGAAGGACTAAAGTTATTCTACTCTCAAAAATATTTGAAGTAATGCTGGAAGTAAAGTATTGATTTTTGAAATGAAATGAATGAGGATAAAGAAATGAAAACGGAAATTAAAAGGGGTTGCATGAAAAGGTGAAAAGGGAGGAAAATCAATGTCATGTTTTGGGAAATGCTTGTTGTAGAAAATATCCAGCTTTTGATTCAGCAAGTGAATGCGTAGCTGAATAATATTTCGTACAATAAAAATAACGTCACTTTTTTACTTCCTTATCAGTAAAATGTTCTTCTTTTTTAAAATCTTATCTCGTTTATCTCAAAGTAATGCTCAAATTATGTCTCTTACATAAACATCCTGATAAGAATATACCAGCTTGTATCATATTTGCCTTACTGAATTAATTAAGATATAATGAAATAAAGGAATACCAGAGAATAATGAATAACATATGTTCTGTAAG